TTAGACTTAGATTTAGTCAGGACAGTTCTTTTGAAATACGAGTAAAAGAAGAGAAAGCTTCAGGCAATACCAGCAATATCCACTTTCCACGTGAGTCAAGGCTTATGTTAAACAGTTACATGTTTCCTTTGGGCAGTTTGAGGAGACATTTAAAGATGTTCACAGAAATAAGAAAGGTAATGATAATTTGCAACTAATTCCATGCCAAGGGTGCATGGAAAGAGAAAGCTTCTTTTTTTTACCAAGCTCTGAGCACATCCATTTTTTTTAACTTTGTGGAGCTTCCAGGGTGTCCAGCAGCAGCAGCATGGATGTGTGTAGAGGCAGCAGCCAGGCTATTTATAGGATGCTTTAGATGTGTCTGTGAATGTTGGTCTGTTATATACAACGCATCTCAAAGACAGGGTCAAGCAAGGAAATGTTTTACATTTGTGAACAATATTTTACTATCAGACATATAAACATACCCTTCAATTCCTACATTGTGAGATCTCACTGTATTTTAATGAGTGCAAACTATTAGTATCAAGTGATGATAATGCACCACCATAAGGATTTCAGTAGCTGATATGTCTTTGTTGTAGGCTAGAGGTTTAACATATGGTCTGGTTGAAGCGAAGATTAATGTAAACAACAGCCTTGTACCAGTTACTGATTATGTGCCAGAGTCTCTGTTTGAAGTCACTTGTAACATTTCTTCTTAGAAAGTCGATCAAACATATGAAAATAGACTTAAAGGTCCCATGTCATGCTTTTCCGGTTATTACCCGTCCCCTTGTGTGTTATGTAGCTTTTTCTTCATGTAAACGGTCTGCAAAGTCACAAACCCTCAAAGTACACCCTGTAGCGAGTAAAACTCTAACACAGAAAATACCTGTCTATGCTGCCCCAGAACGCCTCGTTGGAGATTTGTCTTTTTCCATTTGTTTCTTCCTGAGTATAGTGACGTAACGATACCCAGGTCCAAATGGACCAATCCGCGGAGCTCCTCACACACACACACACACTCACACTCACTCAGCCTGATCTTTTCTCAGCCGCGGCTCTGCTGATCTCCACTCACAGTTCGCCACGTACAGCCACACTCAGGCTGAGTTCCACGGTGTCTCGCTGTCTCGCAGACCCCACGCAGCAACCAGGAAACAACACCAGTAATACAGCTCACACTGTCCGTTCCTCGAGCCTCAAAGGGCGGAGCAGTGAGCCCCGCAACGTCCCGCCAACACGGCACCCAGACCCCACGCAGCATTCTCATCTGTTTTTCATTACTGGTGTCATTTTCTGGTCGGTTAACAAACACCATTGTAACACATAAACACACATCAGAGCACAGGAGCTCCAACAAGCCGTTTAGGACAGAGTGAATACACATACTATACAGAGATGCTGTATGAGAAAACCAATGTGATTTTGGAACATGGAACAATGTAAATCTATTCTAGTAGACCTCAACAATGGAATTATGATCAGTAGAAATGGCCATGACATGGGACCTTTAAAATGACCACAATTGACATGCAAAACTACCATAGAGACATACAATGACCACAGCAAGAGACAAAGCAACCACAATGACACACAAAACAGACCAAAAAGAACCACAAAGAGACACAAAACAACCTCAAAGATCTGTAGAATTACCCAAATATGCATAAAAGAACCAAAGACCTGTAAAAAGACCACCAACAGACAACAAAGTCTACAAAGACACACAAGTGACCAAAGATGCAAAAAAACTACAAATATATCTCTATAAATCTGTGGCTCTTGTTCTTATTAAGAACTGAGTGTTATTTACATGTCTGTGCTTATAGGGGCACCTTTAGTGCATTCCATTCAACTAATGCCAAAGATTGCTTCAAACCTTCTGAAGAGGTTAAACCAGGTGATGTTGTAATTGCTCCTACAGGGGGCAGTTTAAGGCTACAGTGCTTAACATCATAATTAAATAAATCAACTTCCTTGTTCCTTGTGCAACAATCAAGACATGTTGAGTTTTATACTTTTTGCCATTCCAGGAACAATGTGAAGCTGTACGAAAAATGATTTCCTGCTCATTGTTTGAACATTTTCTATTGATAAGTGTATTTCAGGACATTTTAATTAATGTCTAAGGGGCGGGCATTAGACGTGATAGAAACATATTCATTGTAAAACCCCATTGACAGGACAGGAGGGAGGGAGGAATAGTGGTGGGGAGAGAGAGTCCAAGACTGCCAGCGTACGATCCTGCGCTGAGATGAGGAAGTGTGTGAGAACCTGCTGAGTGCAGGGAGGAACAAGTCTCATCTCTGTAGTTCCTGGAGAGAGAGAGCGTCACCTACAAACCTGCTACAAACACGCGCAGGCTGGTGAACACCTCGTACTTGGAATTAACGGGATGTCAGGGGATTAATATCAGTGACCATGTGCCTTATGGGCACCGAGTGTGAGCCACCTCAGCGGTAAGGTTTGAGGAGAGAAAAGGAAGAGGAGGAGGAGGAGGGGTAGACAGACCGGCTTGCAGACAGGTGCGACTCCACAAACTGTTTCATTCTCGGTCCTTCTAAGTACTAGAGCCATGGATACCCGCAAGGAAAACAAGGTAAGAAAAGCTATGAAACCCAAGACGACAAAGCGAAAGGAGAAGAAATATAAAACCGGAAGATTTGCTAGGAGGAAATCGCTGCGATCTTTTGGGAATTTCATGGGAAGGATTCTTAAAACTTTGGGCACTTTTGCGCACTTTGGCGACGCGGAAACGCCGGACGCGGAGGACGACGACGGCGGGTTCGGGCGAACCGCTTCTGGGGGTTTCAGAGACGACAGTGGGCAGACCTCCAGGGAGGGAACCGTGAAGAAGAGCTCCACGGTGTCCTCCACTCACGGCTCGGTGAAAGACAGGCTGTCGTGGTGCTTCGGCGACAAGACCCCCGGCGTGCTGGGGCTGAAGAACCATGGAAACACCTGTTTCATGAACGCCGTGGTTCAGTGCCTCAACAACACGGACCTGCTGGCCGAGTACCTCGGGCTGGAGCAGTACAAGTCGGATTTGTACCAGAGGAGGGTGAACGGGGACGCGAGGGGCGAGGAGCCGCTTCCCGCCAGGGGAGAGGTGACCGAGCAGCTGGCGACGCTGGTCCGAGGCTTGTGGACCCTGGAGTACACACCTCAGCTGTCAGTGGAGTTCAAGGTGAGGACAGGGAATGCATATAGTATGCTGCTGATGTTACTGCTTTGTGTTGTTATTAGTAGTGTCTTAGTTGTGTCTTAATTCCAATCATCTCAGTGGAAAGAATGCTTGATTCCCGTATGCCATTGAGGAAATAGTTCATAGACAACTTATCTCTTTCTAACATAGCCTATTTACAATTGGAATTATAGCTGCAATGTTTTCAACAAAGTGAATAATAGCCACCTTTCTATCTGACCAAAGCATGCATTCATGGGCCCCCAAGTTAAACCACTGTGTTTCAATTGCTTTGTGATTATTTTATTAACAGCACATTTGTCTGTGAATGTGCCCTTATACAGCATAATAAAACCAACATCAAAGGGCCTTAAGGCATTTTAAATCAAATCATCACAAACTAATTGACACGCAGCAAACCTGCAGCCAGGTAGTTTCACAGCTCAGGCGTGCTGATGGTTTTCTGGGTCTCTGGGCAAAATATAATTAAATTGACTTGAGTTTTCTGCTATGTGTAGTGCACTCAATGAGTACTTGGAGAAGTCATACACAGAGAATGAAGAATGAATGAAGATAGACCGGATATTTGTGTCCCAGGGCCCCACTGAGAGCTACCCCAGCAATAAAGAGATGTCATTATCTTCAGGTAGGATTACGTATATGCATTCTTCCCACATGGAACCCCCCCAGATAATACCCAAACTGTTTATTTCACTCAAAGACAGACAAATCCTGTGTCCTGTGGAGCCAGCCCAACAGCACAATGGGAATATGTCAAGAGGTTTTTGTAGGATTTGTAAGTAGTATACATATCACAGACTATAACACAAATGTTTGAATGAACACGTCGGGTGATTGACTGTGGGTCAAAGGGCATGTCCCATTTCCGTGAAGTAAAGAGACAAAGGGGTTGTGTCGCCACTTTGCCTCTTAGTTTCGACATTTTACTATTGTTGACCTATAGTGGTAGTTGTGTGTGTGCATGCAATGTAGTTACTGATTACACACCGGCTGCAAAGTCTCCTCTTGACTCACCTGCCCTACAATCCAGCACTTCATGAGGTTCGTCTGCATTCCCCGTCTGTCATGTGGAGTGCAGGGACTTAAGCATTCCTGTCTTATACTTGCATAAACCTTTAAATGCATGTCATAGGAGTTGCAACATCACTTGACAAAATATAATGAGGTATAACCAGAGAATAGATCAACAAGTGGATAGCACGTACACACAGAAGGCTTTCTTTCTGTTGCAGTCGCTTATGGCTGTTGTGAGCCAGGGCTTCGGGGTTCCCTTCTGGCCTCAGACGACACTCAACCAGTATTGGCTTCCTGAGTGATGACTGCTCTGTTGCATCAACAGACAGCCTGGGGGAAGTTGTAGGGAAGTATGTGCACAAAAACATACATAGGGATAAATGAGTGAGATTTATAATGGAAAAGGTTGATATTCATGACAGTTACTTTTTTATTTACCACAGGTTAGTGATCAATTAATAATGTGTACTGGAGAGAGTGCAGTTTAATATTAAGCTGTAAGGGAAAGGTATTAACAAAGAAGAAGCTGCTGTTTTTATCTGATAAAAGTAAGGAGGCATGGTGTTATGGATCTTAAAGGCTCAGCGTTTCATGTGTGCAATTGAAAGAGCTTATTTTAAACATTAACGACTTAGGCCTCCATAGACCTTTAGATTTGTTGGTCATTAAGGGTATTCTGGTGAATGTAAAAAGTAGGTATTACAGTATATTCAAAACTTGACCTCTTTGAAGTGGCCACAGGACGAGATTGATTCCTCTAGGTCTGGAATATTATTGGTTAAAAATGGTGCTTGATAAAAGTCCCTGAGTAGGCCACCTGCTGGAAGGACACACGGAATATTAGCCCTTGAACCTAATGTCTGAACGCGCTTCTCTTTAGTCGCACTATTCTCTTCTTTGCTCTATGACTTCTCATCATATTGGTCTGCAAAAAAAAGAAAAATCCATGTATGTCACTACCCTTTTTCTTGACTCTCCCCATCGCATGGACACAGGGATGTGTGTGTCTGCTCATCCCAGGGTGAAGCAGAAGAGAGGATGTTTACTGTAGCAAGTGCTTTCAGCCTGGAAAGCAGAATGCCCCCCGCTGAGACGCCTCCATTGGTGTGCACTCAGAGGGAGACAGACAGAGAAAGTGGGAGGAAGAGACATCGCTGGTAAACAAAACTATATTGTCCCTCCTGTGACTGTCATAAGACCACTTTAGGCTCTACTTAGAAAAAGGGACAGGCAACTTTGACAACTGATGGTCATTACCAAATCTGTTCACACTTAAAGAGATGCACTGGCCTGCAAAAAGAAAGTTTTGCAAAAAGTTCTACAACTTCTTTTGTATTGGGATCTGTATTGCGATGATTAGGAGTCATGTAATTCTCAGGACAAATACCATTATATAAACTGAAGAAAGACCTCAGGCTTATTAGCTGGGAGTTAAGTCAACATTTAAATGCTGGAGGCACTCTGTGGAAAAAAAGTTGGAGATAGTTTTGTTTTAATTTCTTGGCTGGCTGTCATAACCCAAAATAGGCCCCTGTTTTTCTCAGCTGAAAACATTTAGATTGTTATTTGTTAACCATGTAAAGTCGGTCTTTGTCCCAAATCAATTTCAGGGTGTAAAAAGTTGAGTTGTGTGATTGACTAGAATGGTTAGGTGATGGTTGTGGCATTTTATAAAAAAAGTGAGTCTTTAAGCCTCAGTCATGTTCATTCCTCACTGGACAGAATGAATGCTGAGAGAAAAGAAGCTTCTCATGGGAGTCATTGTTAGAAGATTGGTAGAAGCTGCACACACTCATTAGATTCCTATAAGTCATACACTTTGTGTCCGACTGATATGAATCATGGATGTGCTGTATTTAAACCTAAATAGTTCAAACTTTGGCAAAACTGCCTTGCTTCACATTTGATGTTAATGAAATCTGGAGACATGAAGTGTCCTTTTTCGGACCCTCCAAAAGTAGTCTACATCAATTTAACTGGACGACAAATTGACTCAAGCATTACACTCCTGACCTAAAGGATTTAACAACACTGTAACTACTTTGAGAAGTTGTAGCGCCTCAGCCATGGTTCATCTTTTTTACGCTTGACAGGATGCAGCTCCGTGAAGCCAGAGAAGCTCAGCCGTGGAGATGAGGCCTGGTGTTTTAAGCAGTGTTGTTTGTTCTGGGAGTGCAGGCAGTGTGTGACAGAGAGGCAGGACAGCGAGACTGATGGTTTGTTTGTCTTTTCGTGTCTCTGCGTCTCTTCAAAGACCACTCTTGTTCGTACTCTTAGTGCTGAAGGTGTATACATTGTTTGTGGAAAGAACCACATACATTGCTGTGAGGATATATGCACCACCTGGACTGTGCTGAGCAGGCACAGCGGGGCAGCCTCTCATTTTAGTTTGTTAGTGGTAGTTTTTCAGGGAAACAGATGGGGACACTTTTTTGGGAGTTTTTAGCAGTGTGCGGCTAGAATATTTTATATGCTGTTTTTAGGAACACTGTATATGATATAATCAGGGGTTTTCACGTGTTACCACTGATATACAGGGGGATCCATGTCTTAGCTGTTAAAGTAAGTAGGGAAGTGGTAACGCTTCAAACACTTCATCTCAAGATAGACCACTTACAAGTACTGTAACAGAGCCACCATATGCTGTTTGGGAGCAGCATGCATTCCCACGACTCAGTGAGCCTCACTCCATTATACCTACACCGCTGTGACGACAAAAGGCAATAAAAGAACACAAGGAGAAGTGTGTCGGCGCTGTATCTGTGTAAGCACTATAATATGAGACCATTTTACTCCAGGTTTATTATCCCTCCCATGATTTATGTACCAAGCTTGAAAGACACACACGGTGTAGGAAGCCATGGGAATAAATCAATCTTTAGTATAATGAGATGTGATACTGCGATCACCGAATCATGGAGTTGGGCATGACTTTCATACTTTATCTCAGTGATAGGGAAGCATATGAAAATGGCATACATTCATACGGCTCTTGATGGCATGACAGATACAGCTTGCAGACTCTCAGTTGGGCTCACATATTTACAGCATCGGCTGTGAATCAATCTCTCAGCTTCAGCAGAGCCCAGGGAGCCTTTTCCTGGGCTGTAAACCATTCAGAGGCGATTATTTCCATCGCATCTCATCCCTCCTTATTTCTTTCTGATCGCCTGTAAATCCCATGCCAAGGACTTCTGCAGACAAGAAGGCTTTGTTCAGTCTTGACTCACTGGCACCTTTATCGAATGCTTCTTAGCACAGCGGAGGAAATATACGTCTGTCTCCATTTAGAGTTACTTTAAAAATACCTGCCTGTTCTCTTTTGGTCTGGAGGTGAATCCAATGAGGCCTAATAAGACACAGGAAGTATAGTTGAGGGCTGCAACCTACCATTATTACATTAATAATGAATCTATATTATTTTCTCAATTATTGATTTTCTTTTTAGTGAAACACTTTGATCATTGCTTCCCAAAGCCCAATAACACATGTTCAAATGTGATGTTTTGACCATATCTCAAATATATTAACTTTACTCTTAGAGAATAAACCAGAACATAATCCATATTTAAGAAGCTGTGATCAATAATTTGAAAATGTCTTCCTTAAAAATTACTCAAATTGATAATCCATTATCAAAATAGTTGCCAATTTAATCAGTTTAGTTGTTGACAACTTTGGAATTGTACTTGCAGCTGTAGCTGAGTAGATTTCAAATGATGGCTGGCTGGAGGAAGAGGCAGGATAGGACAGGTGCTATGCTGCAAAGAGAGGCCCATCTCTCTCTGTTTGTGTGTGTGTGTGTGTGTGTGTGTGTGTGTGTGTCTGTGTGTGTGTGTGTGCATGTGTGCATGTTGGCCCGACCTCATCTGGGACTGATTAGTGGAGGGATTGGTTCTAACATGATAGAGAGGATAGAGAAGAGGCATAATAGAAATTAAGGAGAAAACAAAGTTTGTTGGTGTGTATAAGGAAGAAAAAGGATAGATGGAACGCAGCATGATGGAAGAGAGAGAAGAGAGAGAGAGAGAGAGTGGTAAAAGTCGAGGCTGTAAGTGATGACTGTCCTGCGTCCAGAGGTGAGCCAACAACACCAGGCCGCTGAAAAATGAAACTGCAAATGGAGCAGCCAGTAATGACTGATTCTATCCAGCCTCATTCCAGCCTGTATGGTGGTGGTTAGTGCGAATGTGTGTGTGGTAAAGAAGTGTGTTCTTCTTAATGTTAAGCCTTATCTTAATTAATCAGTAACATTCACTGTCCGTCAGCCAGAAATCTATCCAGGTCTGTTTGGCAGGCTCGACCATGATGAGGATAGGTGTTGTAAATGTTTCTTTTAGGGAGAGAGAGTAGGGGACATTTGTCTGATGTATGTTTAAAGTACATTCCTGTCTAGCCAGCACTCTGATCCGTCATTGTTTACAGAGGAGGAAGATGGATGTGGTGAGGGCATGAGGGGGTAATGGTGTGAGGTGAAGCAAAGGTAGCAGGCCGGGACATCAAAACAGACATCTGGGTGTTGGAAGCAGGGACTGTTGCCAGAGTGCAGCCCTATCTCTGCTGACCGCGGGGAGGTCATGACCCCCGCTGCGGAGAACAACAACTTTATGGCTGTCTCTCTGTTATCTCTCTTGTAGGCTTTCTTCTTTTTGTAGCTTTCTTTGTTTTGAGAAAAGCTGGTAGTCCTTGATTTGTGCAAAGACAGAAAATACACAAAAGAAATTGCCAGGACTACTAGCTCATTTGTACCTTTGTTGGACTAGACTTGTCCTAAATATGTTTAAATATGACATGTTCTGTTGCAACCAGAAGTGACAAAGGGGGAAGAGGGTTTAACAAAGTATAACAGAACATACAAAAATACAAACATGTTACAATTAACTTCAGAAAATTAAGAAAATGGAAATCATGCTGTATTGAAGAAGACTTAAAACTAGCTATTGAGACAAGGAACTCACTTGTTCACTGACATATTGAATCAAGTGAGAAGTAAGGTCCTTTTCTCCTAAACTTATTTACAACCCGACCTATTTTTGCAAGTTGAGACGTTACCTGGCTATTAGGAAGAATGCAAGTTTAAAGAACTTCTGCACTGGTTTCATTTCTCAGGCCGTAGGTTGTCTGATCAGCCCTATCAGGGGTAGGTGGGTTGAGTAAGTTCCTTGGTCTAGACTGATCAATATTACTTACACAAAACTCTATCCTACCTCAAGTTGACCCTTACGTCCATCTTTATCTTTGAAGAGCTATGAAATGTTTGCTTAACAAACAAGTAAGATCCAACCAGAGCTCTGCTGAGGTCAGCTCGAACACTGCTAGTGTTTACAGAGGAACTTGACATTTTGACTAACCTGCAATTTGTTACTTTGTCTCCCCGCATTTCTTACCATCTTCTTTCTTTTTCCCCTCCCTTTTACAAGATTTCAATAAAAAATGACTTGATGCTTGGGAATACAATCCTGCCAAATCTGCTTAAGTCACCAGAGACACTCTGAGAGACGGCACTTTAAACAGATATCAGAAAGATGAGTGAAATTATGATCCCAGCAAACTCACAGACATACACACACCAAAACCAGCAGATAAGGCTTATGGAGGGGTCTTACCCTCGTCGAAATGAAGTCTTAACCCCTTGATGCCATCACACTTCTGTGCCTAGAGTCACTGTAACCTTGGAAACTGTTTTGACTTGCACTATTTTGTGTGTAGCTTTGAGAGACTGTGCTGCCTTCTATTTCTCACTTGTCATCCCGCGGCCAGTCAGTTTCGTCCTTTTTTGATAAGGAAACAAAACAACACTTGCAGTTCTGTTGAAACTCCGCCAGCGTCCTTCCCTCTCCTCTCTTTTTCTCTGCCGCCCCATCTCTCCATCTGTCCCTCAACCCTCCATCGCCTGTCAGTGCTCCCTCATAGCGATGAAGCTCATTAGCAGGCTGTCTCCGTCAGGTAGAGGGGGGTCCTCCCTCCCCTGTTTATATTTAGATACTGGGATACTGCAGGTATAATGTGGTGATTCTTAATGAGGTCTGGAGCAGAGGATGGATCCAGTCAGTCTCACACAGAGAAGGAGAGCAACAGAGAGATTATAGCCATACAGTGTGGTGTACTATTATTGCTGTCGTTAGTTTTGCATGTCAATGTATCTGTCTGACGCATAAAGTCACAACTCGTTCCCCATAATTTGGCTTTTATTTTCTAGGAACACCTGTCAGGGTCCTGGATGTCCCTTTGTGAGTCATCGTTTCGTACGCAAGCGTTTGGGGAACAATTTCTTTAAATATTATTAGGCACCACTAATGGCTTATGAAGACTGTCTTATTGTGCTATGCTGCCAAACATAGTCTTAATGTCTTAGAGAAAAAATGATGTAGTCGTTTGACTTGTTTCAATGCAAAGGAAGAAGACCATATTAAACTGAATGTCAGTCTCTCAACATTGGTGATGTTTCTGGGTATTCTTATACCATGCAGCCATTAGCTTGACATTGTGAAATTTGGCGGAGCAGCAATGTGGTTTGTGTTTCTGTGTAATTGTATCATTCATTTTAATAATGACATTGAGGTTTCGAGAAAACACAGATGTATAATTTCTCTTTCACTCTTTCTCTGAACACACAAAGGTATGCAAAGATAAACAATTAACAAACCAATTCTAACAAATGGCTCAGCTTTACTTATTTGTACAAAGGAAAGTGTGCAACTGTGAATTTGCAGAGTAACATTAGATCATTGCTTTTGTCATTCGCTGGTTCTAACTTCTTGAATATTAGAATTGTATTTTCTAGGGATGTCCCGATCACCTTTTTTTGCTCCCGATCCGATTCCGATCATTTGATTTTGACAATCTGCCGATACCGATTTTTCCCGATCCGATCTTTATGCAATGCATTAAAAAAAAAAAAAGGCGAAAAGCATTCAAGTTGTCCCTTAAACCCCACGTTCTCCACCACAGATAACGGCTGGTCATCCAACGCGATGAATTCAGCTATCTTGGCTGTTATTTTTTTGGCCTTTTCACTGTTCTGGGGCAGTTTCTCTTTCCTTTTAAAAGTCTCTGAAAGTGTTGGTTGTTTCAGTGCCGTTACCTGAGTGGCCGCTGTGTACTCGTTGGTCGTGTTGAACGTAGCTCTGTTCTTTCCACCACGCGGAGCCTCCGCCTTGCAAACATTGCATCTGGCTGTTACACTGCCTTCGCTTTCAATTTTATAATACTTCCAAACTCCTGACATTTTCTCTGTCCCGACTCCCGAGGCACCAGCTGAACGTAGCCTCTCGTTAGCTTACTGCTACTATTAGACACTGCGCCCTGCCCACTCTGTTGCCAGATTTGAGAGAAATAAGCAACCAGGTCTATGAAAACAAGCCCAAAAGAAGCAACACATACATGATGTTGTGTAATTTTAAACCTCAGGATGACTTTAAGACGTGAACATGGTCATTTTTGTTTTGTAACATTAAATAAAAAAAAAATATTTTATATAAAAAAATTCCCGATCCCCGATCTTTTTCTCCCGATTCCAATCATTTGAAAATCACGTGATCGGCTCCGATCCCCGATCACGTGATCGGATCGGGACATCTCTAGTATTTTCTCTTTGGCATGCATGATATAAACGTATATATCTTGGGCTGTTGGTCAAAGAGATCAACACATTAGATGATAACAACTTGTGCTGTACTAAATGACATCAGGCATTTTCAACTTTTTTCTGACATTCTTAGACCAAATTATAAATCGAATTAAAAAGATAATAATAATGTTCAGCCCTTCATTAAACTACAGTGAACATTGTTGAAAGGTTTTTAGCAGATGGCTTGATTCGTTGCATGCAACTTTGCAAGTGTTCTCTGTGCCTTCAATTTTCAAAAATGTTTCCCAAAGTGCAACATCCAAAGAGAATTGTGAATGAATTTATTACAGGATGATATCTTAGCCAAACACTGTCTGGCAGATGAACTTGAATGAGTCTGCACTAAGGGATGATAAGAGAAGAAATGTGCTCAAAGCTGAACCAACTGTGGCTCACAAATGATGAGTTCCTGTGATCGTGGCCTCATTTTGTCAGGAAGGATGTCAGTATTTAATAACTTGAAATCACCCAACGTATTAATTATGATGCTTCTTCTCTTCTCAGAGCATAGTGGCAAAGTACGGCTCTCAGTTTCGGGGAAACTCTCAGCACGATGCACTTGAGTTCCTCCTCTGGCTTTTGGACAGAGTTCATGAAGATGCCAATGAAAGCCCCAACAACAACAACACAAACGGCAGCAGCAGCAAGACCAAAGCCAACGCCAAGGTGAGTCCACTTCATCATACAGCCACAGGCTCAGCAACATCGAGCTGGCGCTGGCTGTTGCCTTCATGTGGCTGAATATGCTAAATATGATTGTGTGACTTATCATGCAGGTACTGCTGTTGCTAGCTTGTTTTTATACCTTCTCCCTGTTGGAGACAAGTCAGTGCAGACTCTCACTCTTACTGCTCATTGAATATAAGCAGGTCATAGACTCAATTTGACTGAGTCCTTGAGCCGTCCCAGACCTCAAGCATTTTTCTTTGTGGGCTTTACAAAGAGGAAGGAAGAGCTGCGGTCAGCTCTAGCCAGTAAAGCCCAAGGGAAGGAACCAAGAGGGAAATGTTTGATATTCTTCTTGGTTGGATTTTCCTTGCTAGTCTTTTTCTCCACTCTCAGTTTTGAGTCTGTCTTTTTCCTGTACTGCACAAATGATTTCACGGGCAGCAAAAACTGAAAAATGCTGCTCCACCTGGCACATTCAAGTTTCATGAAATTCTGTCACATGTGTTTTTGTAGACTGCAGAGCGCTACAATGATCCAAGCTCAGGTGCAGGATCATGTTGCATGTAACACTGAGGCCATTGTTTAATTGGTACGGTTCAAAAGTAATGCTGACCTTGTCATCTAGCTCACAATGGCAGATCATCATCAATCTACTCAATGGCTTTGTCCCTGTTTTCTTGAATTTTTTTTGAAGAAGTTATTTCACTCATCAAACTTTTAAAGCAAGGACATTTTGTCCGTGCGTTTGAGTGTCAGCATCTCAAAAATCGTTCATCCAAACAACTTCACACTTTGTGGTGATCCAAGAGAGTGCATTGGCGAATGTAGTGCAATTGGGCCAACTGGTGGCACTATAACAACGAACATTACATCTATAATTGAATTAACATCTAGATCTTCCTGCTATTTCCCTCTGCAAGTATTTAGCAACTTCACCAAATTGGGTACAGGACATATCTAGACCAAAACAGGTGTGATGATTGATACAGTTTGGCTATAGCTGGCTCAAATGGTGTTGGCAGGGCTTGTATTATAGAAAATGTCATATCTACTGGGCACTTTGTGCTATTGCAACTAGATTTGGGGGACATGTAGATATGGTGTCTGTCTGATTGCCTACGACAGAGCATGTATGTAATACTCTCCTAAGTATGTCTCAAGAGCTGTTAAATTACTGAAATTATACTCTTTTTGTATTGCTGAGGATCCAAGGAAGTGACGAGTGTGAAATAAATACCTTTAACAAAATATAAAACTAATGTCCAGTCCTCTTTAGTAAATGGAAAAGTTCTCTGGATGTAGCTCTCTGTGGAGAGGTAAAGTGTCATTGTTACAGTGCTCAGAGTGCCGATGTGTTTCTTCCACCTGCAGTTGGGTTGAAACTCACTAGCCTTGAGCTGAAATGATTCTTTGTGTGCGCTTTCCTGTGTGATGTAAGAGGAGAAACCGTTGAAGTGGCAGGCATCTGTCTCTGTCTGTGTTTTTGTCTCGGATGTGGGACATTCTCTTTGCAACCTTGCACTTGGAAATGATCTGGGACCCTGACCGGTGAGAGAGAATGAAGGGCAGACACATCATGTCTGAGCTGATTACTTTTGAGCATGACTAGAGTAGCCAAGCACCAAAATCCAGTTAAATGTTGTCTTTGGTCAGTATATTTATTGGTGTAGACTAAAGTGCACTTTGGTGAGATTTCTCAGAAATTCACACGGACACAAACAGATATATAATAATACAAAAACAACCAAACTTAACCAGATATAGCAATCCAATCTTGTCCTGTTCTTCTATTTTGTTCCATCTGTTTAACCTTAATATGTCAATCAAATGCTTTTAAACAGGCCTATTACTGGCTGCCTGTTACACTCGGTCCACACAATAGTTATTGAAGCTGAAAGTTGAAACTGTAAGCACTGCAGTGGTGAAGAAGTATTGTCTATGAGAACGTTTTTAAATGATATACTCAATCTGCTCCAGTTTATTCATTACGTCTCTGATGCTAAACAGCTTTGAAATAATTTTGGTTTTGCTTGCACATATTCTACAACACAACAACTATTATATATTATATTACAACTATTATATATTCCAGCCGTATAAAGTTCTCAAGAAATATGGGAAACAGACCACATTATATATTGTTTTGAATCCTGACATGTATCATCTGCCTATTGAGATTCAGCTCCCTTAGTAATTATAGTCCAACTGATCTAGTGAAGGAGTAGCAGGGGCAGTCATTCAGATTCTATTTAATTGACCTTTCAGTTAGACTGGCTGTTAAACCTTTTTTATATACGTATAGTACAGTGTGTAATTATTTGAGTGTGCTTGTGTTGGCCTAGGGTTTGGCGGCAGCACAGCTGGTTTTGCCTGCCAGCAGACGACCCTCCAGCACTGTCAGTAAATGAATACTGTTATGAGCTGAACTGTCGCCGCGCTGCCACCCAATGGCCAGCTCTCCCGCTATGACAGCAGCGCTAATAGAGGCAGCCTGTATGCCACATAAAGAGCTTACGGCCGCGGCTCTCATTAGGCTGCCAGTGAATCATGGTGTCATAAAGCCGGCTTTCCTGCGCTACTGCTGTGAGGCACAGAAGAGGGAAATCTCTGGGTTTTTCACACAAGGAGGGAAAATGTCTACTTTTCTAAAATCAAATTCTCATCCCCCTTCTCCGTAAATTGATTCCATTTATGCTGCACAGTGTGCTCACGCTTATACTGCTGATTTAATTCAAAACTTTGAAACTTGGAGATTCATTCAGTCTCCAATGTGGTTTTGAATAATTAAAGTCCAGGATTCTCAGTGACATTTAAACAATTATATATAATGCATCAAGGAGTTTGCACTTTACCAACAATAGTTTTGCCAATGTTCATTCACCTGTATACGGTAAGATGAATTAGGAGAGAGAAAGACAATTTCAGTTTCTCACACAGAAGCATTACAAGTGGAATGATTATAGAAGTCTATTGACAGGGCAGAAGAACTGACAGACGGTTACAGTAGATGAAGTGGTGACTGAGTTGAGCAGTTCAGAGAGGAAAGTGACTTTGACTGCTTTGTCTGTCACCGGAGCCTGGGAAACGGGCATCTAGGATTATACAGGTCATGCTGAGCTGACAGAAACGTAACAGTGTCAACATTGTCCCTGTCATTTTCACATTTAGTGGTTAGCACCTCATCTTCACTCTTCTCCTGACCCACACATAGACTTCAGATTTGTTACTTACGCATCATTTGGGACCCCCTTGAAAACGAGATGGTGCATCTCAAGGGGTTTATCCCAATAAATAAAATGTCTATATATCTTGTATTTTTAAATCGACTAAACTTAAATTGAAATATTATTTGTGTAATAAATGTTTACATGGATGCAACATACAAACTATCTCCAATCTGTTGAAGATACTGTTGTTTAACTTCATTCTGTGGTTTAACCTGTGTTTTTTTCCTAGGCCGCTTTTTAATTTGTCATCAAACATGATGAGTTTGTTAATTGTATTAGTCTGTGATTGCTTAGGTAACCTAAACAACACCATGCCTGTCAAATAAATAATCTGCTAACAATTTGTGTAAGCAGAACAGCTCGTACGTCGTAACTGCATTTTTGACAGCCTCGGTGACATTTCGTTGGTCTCCTTATTATTCCTGTCAGGATTTATTCTCTCGAGGTGTGTTGAAAATCTCATGAAAACATCTGTAATGAGTTCCCTTCAAAAAAGTTGTGTTTCACTATTTTAGTCACAGCTCACGCTATTGATTATCAGGGCAAAACAAAACAAATATGTTTTCTGCATATGTTGTTTTCTTGTGAAGACGGATGTGAATCTTTATCCTACTGAGGTGTGTAAGGGTTGTTGACACAGTGGGACAAAATGTGGCTTAGATTATTGGATGACGATATGTAGGCCTATTGTTTTACGGTAGGCCGATTGCTTCAAAAGCAAACATAGATTCCCACAGATCAGAACAAATATGAGCCGGGAACCTGAGTCAAGTCACATGTTTCCTTGAGTGTGTTGAAGGCAAATTCCTCTGTGAACTGCAATCTAACTTAACCTGATAATGAAACAGTATGGATATATCCTGCTATATATATGTATTGATTCAGGACATGTGTCTGTGTAGGTGTTTCCTCACACAGGTTTAAAAGTATGTTAGGTGAACAGGAAACTATAAATGATAATATTATTTTGATTCCCATTATCAAGACTCAAAGAGGCCGCTTCACACAGCTTGCCATGTATGTTAAATGAATTGTGTGGACAAACCATGTGTACCAAACAAATTAGTAAATCAGTGTACAAGCGATATGCAGTATATATTAGAACAAACAACTTGTTTGTGTAGCACACCTGCTATACAAGCAGTGTGACCAGTCCAGCAGCTTCGCCCAAGTAACATTACGTAACACACGACTGTGAACACACAAGAAGGCAGCTCAGTAATGTTAATCCTCCTTCCAAAGGGCGCTCGCTCAACTCCCTTGGTTTCCCTCTCGCCTCACTGGCACCGAATCAGCAGCATTCCTCATTTGCTAACAAAAGCAGCCTAGCCCACATTGAAATCATACCTGTTGTACACAGTGATTTCTCAAATTATGTTTAATTTCTCCTGATACATATTGTTTTCTTTAGAAATATAATAAAAACATTCTCTCACATGATAATAATACTGCTTTTTTCTTCAAGCAAGTGTTAGAAAAGAGGGAGGAATAGCGTATTAGCTTTAAGGGAAAGAGGCTTTTTTTTTTAACTCAGTGTCCACAAGCTATGAGCCACACAAATAACATGCCATTAGGGGGAAGAATCACACATGCATTATATTAAACCTTTCGGCCTTAACGGTTTCAAAATATGAGAAGGATTGGTTACACTATCTTGATAATAAAAAAACCTACCGACCCAAGTTTTGTGTTATCAAAGAGTGTTCTATATTTCCCAGTGTTCACTGAGTGAACACATGGAGCGCAGCTACGTTTTGCCTCAGGCCCTCC